TCACTTAAGTCTGAGAATCTCAAGATTGTCTATTTAATCAGTCCTTTATTTAGCTAGTAGAGTTTTTGTTGTCCTGCCTATTCAACATGCTACTACGGCTGCTACTATAGTGCTAATTTAACATTTAGGTGAAGATAAAACGAGTTTTGAAGTCATTCAGGAAAGGCATAGTGGCAAAAAAAAAAAAAAAAAATCCATTAGCACCTTAAAGGTGAAAAACACTGTTATATTTGTCTGCCTGTTTGTTAGGAAGAGTATGGAGGCCACAGACAGATGGTTTTAGGAAATGATGTAGTAAGCTTCCTCCATAGTGGGCCGGGCGCAGTGGCTCACGCCTGTAATCCCAGCACTTTGGGAGGCCGAGGTGGGTGGATCACGAGGTCAAGAGATGGAGACCATCCTGGTCAGCATGGTGAAACCCTGTCTCTACTAAAAAAAAAAATACAAAAAATTAGCTGGGCATGGTGGCCTGTGCCTGTAGTCCCAGCTACTCAGGAGGCTGAGGCGGGAGAATTGCCTGAACTCAGGAGGTAGAGGTTGCGGTGAGCCGAGATCGCGCCATTGCACTCCAGCCTGGGTAACAAGAGCGAAACTCCGTCTCAAAAAAAAAAAAAAGTTATCCTGAACAATTTAACTTTTACTCTAAGGTAAAATTTTGTAATCAAAAACGGCAGTAGTGTTATGTGCTGTTTTCTAGAAGAAAATAAGATTCAAATAAAACAGTGAATTGGACACTCATGCCTTAAAGTCTTTTTAAAGGAAATATTATAAAATGTTAACTTCCAATCAATAATATAAACCACAAAGAGGAAGACAAGAGTAGATAAGTGTGGGTATATAAAAAGAAAAGTTCTGAAAATGTTCAAAAACCAAAACAAAACGTATGAGCAGCAGACTTAATAGGAGAACAAAAGAAATCAGAGTTAAGGGATATCGAATCCGGGACCAGAAAGAAAAAAAAAAAAAACTTGGATTCAGTTACCATGGCTGCTTAACTTAGTCTACAGAGGATAAGGAAAATACATTATACACTATTATTAATCTCTGAACACAAATTTCATTATTTAAATAATATTGATGAAAATAATTGTAAAACTGTATAGTGTTCACACATACAGAATATACATCCCTGAAAATGTATCAGTGCTACCCTTAGATTTTTTTCCTGTCTATATAATAATTGTTTGCATCGGAGGTTGAGATTTGGACTTTGCAGTTTGCGCATTTTTCAAGTCTGTTATTCGACCTGAAAAATGCGCAAACTGCAAAGTCCAAATCTCAACCTCCATGCATTGCTTCATCAAGCCTCCTTTACTTAGCCCTTCCTTTGTGTCACTGGCTTTATCTGTACTAGATTTAAAGTGGCCACATTTTCTTTGCTCTCCCTTCCATCACAAAGCCAACGCAGGCTGCAGTGGCTCACGCCTATAATCCCAGCACTTTGGGAGGCCGAGGCGGGTGGATCACGAGGTCAAGAGATCGAGACCATCCTGGTCAACAAGGTGAAACCCTGTCTCTACTAAAAATACAAAAATTCGCTGGGCATGGTGGTGCGCGCCTGTAATGCCAGGTACTCGGGAGGCCGAGGCAGGAGAATTGCTTGAACCCGGGAGGCGGAGGTTGCGGTTAGTCAAGATCGCGCCATTGCACTCCAGCCTGGGTAACAAGAGTTTTTAAACTTCGTCTCAAAAAAAAAAAAAGGAAGTCAAAACTACTTTCCTCGCCCTTCAGTGTGGGCCAGCAAAGTGACTTGCTTCGACGAGCAGCTTCCTGTCTTGCTCTCGTGAAATACCGCGGTCTGTGAAGAGGCCCGGGTGAGACTCTTTCAGGAAGACAGGCCCTTTGCAGTGAGAGCCAGCACCATGGGACCAGCGAAGGGCCCTGTGTAGGACATTCTGCCCCACGTTGTCAGGTGACGCAGCTGCTGCAGCGACCGACCCGCGCGAGACCCACAGATCGGCCCACCTGAGCCCGGCCCAAATTGCCAGCTCAAAATAAGTTCATCCCCGCACCCACACCAAAGGCTTCCCAGCGTCTGAGGAGATGGCCTTATCCCTTTTGTTATCTGTTCTGCCTGAAACACTCTGCATGTCTTTGATGCTCTTTGCCCCTGACATGGTTTCTAGACCTTGCATTTACTTGCTCACTCTTCTCTGGACTCGTTCAGGATGGCCACATTTCTTTTTAAATTGTGTGCCAGTCACAATTGAAAACAGTGTTTCAAAGATGATTTGCCTCTTTTAACCCTTAGAGTCTAGCTACTTTTCCCTACAGCCCCTTCCCTCCTAACGAGCCCTATGGGCACTCGCTCGCTTCCTCCTCTCTTTCCTGCCCCGCTTCTCAGCTCCTCCCCCAAGAGGCAACAGTTTTCACATCCCTCAGGGACTAAGTCAAACTTGCTGCGCTCCTTTGCATCACTATCCCCAGTTCCCGACCCTTTCAGTGCTTTGCTGGGCCAGCTTTTTCCGCTGTGCACTATGCTGGCTGTGCCAGGTCTGGCTCCTTTGGCTGGGCCATAAATTCCTTAAAAGCAGCTACTTTCTGTACCTTAACGCTTCACCTGGCACATGTTAAGTGCTCAATAAATGTTTAGTGGGTTGGATAATTAACTAATATTCTTTTGGTATTAAAATATATTATCTACCGGCCCGCATTTTCCCACAAGGTGATCAACGGAGACCGGAGGCTGTCAGATTCCCGTTTAAACCAAGATAGTATGTTCCCTGAATTTCCCTGCGTTCATTGAAAAAGAAAATGCATTTTGTTTGGAATTACTTTCTCAGCGGTCTATGCTGCCTTTTTTTTGTTGTTGTTAAGATGGAGTCTTGCTCTGTTGCCCAGGCTGGAGTGCAGTCATGCGATCTCTGCCTCCTGAGTTCAAGCAATTCTCCTGCCTCAGCCTCCCAAGTAGCTGGGATTACAAGCGCCCGCCACCACACCTGGCTAATTTTTGCATTTTTAGTAGAGACGGTGTTTCGCCATGTTGGCCAGGCTGATCTCGAAATCCTGACCTAGTGATCAGTTGCCTTGGCCTCCTAAAGTGTTGGGATTACAGGCATGAGCCACTGCATCCAGCCCTATGTTGCCTTCTTTTTAAATGCTATCAAGCTTCTGAAAAATTCTGGCAAATATTTAGTTACCATTTCTGGAATGTATATTCACTCATTTTTTTAAAAATGGAAGCATTTACTTTAGTTTTGTCTTTCACTGCAAAAGCTCAAGGACTACTTGACATGCACGCTCCAATGTGTTTATTACCATGGCATATAAACAGTCTGCATTGGTAAATTTGGCCTCATTGCTATTATAATAGGACTTTACTTTTGTAAAGTGCCTTACTGGGTACAAAATGTTTTCTCATACCTGACCTCATTTCAGTCTGAGGAGAAGCTCTGTTTAAGAGGTAGGGATAATCATCTGTGTTTCACAGTTAAGAAAACAGAAGCTCCCAAGTCTGTCAGAGCACCTGAAGTGCTTACTCATCTGTGGCTCCAAGGTCTGTTCATCCTGTTCTTCCCGGATTAAAGATCATTCTGCTCCATGGAGAAGACCAACAACAAAAAAGATGCTGAATAGCTTTGCTTTCTCTTTGCATTTCTTGCCTGCCCTTGTCATTCTCCAACCTTTTTACCTCCAGTTAAAAGGTATCTTCTTGGCTGGGAGCAGTGGCTCACGCCTGTAATCCCAGCACTTTAGGAGGCCAAGGTGGGTAGATCATGAGGTCAAGAGATCGAGACCAGCTCAGCCAACATGGTAAAACCTTGTCTCTACTAAAAATACAAAAATTAGACGATGTGGTGGCGCCTGCCTGTAGTCCCAGCTACTCGGGAGGTTGAGGCAGGAGAATCGCTTGATCCCAGGGGTGTGGCGTGGAGGCTGCGGTGAGCTGAGATTGTGCCACTGAACTCCAGCCTGGTGACAGAGCAAGACTCTGTCTCAAAAAAAAAAAAAAAAAAATCTTATTCTGAACACGGGCATGTGACTATATTTTGTTTGTTGGCTGGATTTGTTTTAAAGCTAGTTATGCTGGTGAGGGCTGTAGGAAAAAGAGAAGAAGGCACTGTGCCAGGTGTTTCTCCACATTATTAGACCATTATCATCATCATCTAGCAATACAGGTGACACTGTCCTCAATTTTTACAGATGAGGAAAGGAAGCTCAGAGATATCTCCAGCTCTTACGGAGCATGATATCCTACAGAGCATGATAACCTTCTGCCAAAAGATAGTACCAGTAGATTTCAAGTGGAAACATCTTTCCTTTGAAGTTTTTTTTTTGTACACAACTTAATAAGCATATTCATTTTGTTTTGTTTTTGATTTAAAGGGGAGCTCCATGATGACGTTTCTTTTTGCTGTGGTATTTCCAACTTAGAGTGGTGGAGGGTAGGAAGGTAGGGGATAGGGGCTCTATCTCTTTCCTTCTCCAGTTGTGCTTTTCTCCCATTTGGCTCAGGTCATCATTAAAACATAACCATGTTACCTAATAAAGTAGAGCACATGCATCACTTACCCACAGTTCATACTCTGTCCTTACAGAGAACAGAGCTCCAAGGAAATGGGCCAGCTCAGAGTTTAGGGGGCTGAGGGAAGGGCTGCGGTGTGGGGGTCTGGTACCCATGGTCAGTCTTGGGCAGGGGCACTGGTGCCTGAGAGGAATGGGCACTGGGATTGGTGCCCAGGAGGAAAGTCACCAGGCCCCCAACCTAGCTTTAGTTTCTTCTTGAGTCAGTCCTGGCTGCTGCAGAAGTCAGCAGCAGTGACTGTACCTCTTAGTTTCAAGGACTGGTAGCACACACTGCCACCTCTCAGCCCTCTCCCGCCTCCTGTTAAGGAGTGATGCCTTCTAGAGATAATAAGCATCTCTCTTTTTAAACTGCATTTTAACAACTCCAAACCTGGTGGTCTCATAATTATGAACTGCTAAATGTTAGAGATGTAAGAAAATGTTTTCTGCTGTGACTATACATAATTTTAATAAAATCTCTCTTCACTTTCCAGACAGTTGCAGCATGACTTTCCCAGGGCCCTGATTTTCAGCACGGATGACTTTTTCTTCAGGGAAGATGGTGCCTATGAGTTCAATCCTGACTTCCTGGAGGAAGCTCATGAATGGAACCAAAAAAGAGGTGACAAATTCCTTGCCAAACTCCTGGGAAACCCCAGTGTGCACATAGATTGTGGCTGCTGCAGAATGAATACATTTTATGGAAGGAATTTAACCGAAAGTTCTACCATTTTTTCCCCCCAAAACAGAAGATCAGAGTATAACCTCCTTAGATTCCAGGAGAAAGAAAATTATTGATAGTGGGCTCTGAAATAGGTGGCACTGAAGTTGTCTGAGGAGGAGATGAGGGCATCCTGTAAGAAAAATGACAAATAGGGACTGCGCTCACCCTTCCCTCTGATTGTTGCATGTTGCTCACTGTTATATAACATTGTGTTGCAGCAAGAAAAGCAATGAGGAATGGCATATCCCCCATTATTATTGATAATACCAACCTCCACGCCTGGGAAATGAAGCCTTATGCAGTCATGGTAGGAAGAAGTATCATTCTGAATTTTCAGTTATGGGCATTTTGTGAGAAAGTTGAAGCATCTGTTCTCTCCTCTCTTTCTGATCTTCCATGATTTCATATTTGCTAACAGTAGTTCTCCCATGGAGCAGGTGAAGAGGTTTCATTTTAGTGTTTCTCTGCTGTTCAATGACTGAAATTTGCTGAGATGCCAGTCTCGCTTCAGGATACAATTTAAAAATAGTCCTTGGCAAATGGTCCTTGGTGTGAATTCTTGATAACTTTTCTGTCTCAATTACTCCTAAGGCAAGGCATACAGAGGAGCACCCACTGAAATGTGCAGAGCAATACTGAACTAGATGACGCTCCTAGTGGAGTTACAGGTCACAACAGGACCGTTCTGCCTCTGGTGAGCCGGGGATTTCCACACTGTGTACTGTTGCCGCCTGGGAGTTCCAGGGCAACGGAATATTTTAGTCTAAAAATGGATTTAGGGCCGGGTGTGGTGGCTCATGCCTGTAATCCCAGCACTTTGGGGGGCCGAGTCAGGCGAATCACTTGAGGTCAGGAGTTTGAGACCAGCCTGGCCAACATGGTGAAACCCTGTGTCTAATAAAAATACAAAAATAGCCGGGCGTGGTAGGCGCCTGTAATCCCAGCTACTCGGGAGGCTGAGGCAGGAGAATTGCTTGAACCTGGGAGATAGAGGTTGCAGTGAGCTGAGATCGCACCACTGCACTCCAGCCTGGGCGACAAGAGTGAAACTCCGTCTCAAAGAAAAAAAAAAAATTAAATTAAAAAGTAAAAAAATTTAAAAATTAAATAAAAACAGATTTAGGATTAACACTGTAACCTTATTGAGATGGTAGAATGCAAATATAAATACAAAATAACTCAGCTCTCCATTGTCAGAATAGCAAAGAACAGTATGATGCATGTAACAACAGTGTGTACATTATCCTTCAGTTGTGAAGTCTATTTGGTCTTTTTCCATACATATTCCATCTCTTGTGATAATGTTTTCATTCCCTATTGGGTCTAGAAAGGATGATGGATCCAGAACCATACAGATGGTGCAGGAAGCAGACAGTGGAGTATCCTCCTAGTGTCATGCAGAGTCTCCACCCGGTTAAATTGTGCAGTGAATAGCTCCAGACAGGGATCATGATTTTAGGCTTCTTTTTACATTTGGGTGAACTGGCATACCTACAGGTGTGCTTTTCGCTAATGATACACTCACCAGTTCCACTGATATCCAGATTGTGGGGCTTTGGTGAGTGTAAGGAAGAATGAGCCCCAAACTTGTGGTTACTTCAGTTCATGTGGAGTCTACTTGGGCAGGAAATGAACAGGCAAGGGAAGAGCCAAGTGAATGAAAGCCACCACTTTCAACCAAGTGACAAGTAGCCTAAGGGAAGTCATTTTACTTTTTTGTTTTCTTTTAAGACAGAGTTTCACTCTGTTAGCCAGGCTGGAGTGCAGTGGCATGATCACAGCTCACTACAGCCTCTGCCCCCCAGGTTCAAGCAATTCTCCTGTTTCAGCCACCCGAGCATCTGGAATTATAGGTGCGTGCCACTGTACCTGGCTAGTATTTGTATTTTTAGTGGAGATGGGGATTTGCCATGGTGGCCAGGCTGGTCTCGAACTCCTGAGCTCAAGTACTCCACCCGCCTTGGCCTCCCAAAGTGCTGAGATTACGGGTGTGAGCCACCATACCTGGCCTCATTTTATTTTTTATCTTCTGGATATGTATAATCTTTTTCAGCCATCCTCAGCTATTTAGACTCAGAAATGAGAGGTTTCCAGTTGTGTTATTTAAACCTTTCCCAATTGAGAAGTGCTCATCTAAAGAATGAAGAGGAAACCTTTTTGCTTAGCTCTTTCCACTCTAAATAAACACAATAAATTATAGTGATAATAGAAAATTCAGTTTGAGATAAGGTAGTAGTCAATTTACAAATGCAAATAATATTTTGGTGTTCATATGGAAATTGTAAGAGTTTTCTAAACTCAAGGAAATGGGGCCAAATTGAGCCAAATTGTATAGCATACATTGAGCCAAAACTGTATAGCATAGTGGGGAGAGCTACTTTTGGAGGGAAGATAATGTAAAGTAGGTGACTATCACTTTTATTTCATCAGTTATGTTCCTAAAGTACTCTCACTTTCTAAAGCAAGGAATGAGGAGTAGGACAAGGCATCTGACAAGTAACTCTACAAAAATCCTGTAAGTGACTTTGAGAAGTCACTGAGTTCACTGCTCGTACCTGTGTTCAGGACATTTAAAAATAGCTCAGTCATCTATTTTTAAAGATGTCCAAAACAAAGGACCTTTACAAATTTCCTGCATACTAGATAAAACTGACCACAATTTATCGTTGAGAATTATGAGAGTGGCTACGGATGGGAATGAGACAACTGCATTTCTTATGACAAATTAAGGCATTGGATTGCTCGTAAAACAAAAGGAATTCTAGAAAAGAGCTGTAGTAAATGTTAAATGGCAGCATAAACATTCCCAAACATACATACGATGTCTTCAATGTTTTATGTACTTTTGAAAAATCAGGCACTTGAAAATAACTATGAAGTTATATTCCGAGAACCTGACACTCGCTGGAAATTCAACGTTCAAGAGTTAGCAAGGTACTTCTTTGTTTTTCTAGTTTCTCATTTTGTATCCTGCTATTTTCAGGTATTTCAGACCGAACAAAAGAATCTTTTCAGGCTGGAAATGGACATGGTAGTTTTCAGGCCAGAAATGGTAATTCTTGGAAATTGGTAACTTTGGAAATTATTAACTTTGGAAGACTTAGTTTTGGGTCAGTTTTCTAATATAATACTAAATGCTCAATCTTGGCTTGGACTTAGTCCTTTAAAAGGATGCACTTAACATTCTGCTAAAATGCTTCTTCATTAAGGAACATTTAAAAACAGTTTCGCTGCATGGGACTGCACATGTCAATGGTGTTTTTGCATTTAGGCTAAAGATTTTTAGATGTTGAGCAGCCTGTGGTTCATTCATGATCTAGATGCTGCTTCTAATTTATAAAGCAGTAAATGTTCAAATAATACTAACTTGTTGATTGAATGCATGGGTTCAGATATCACTATCTGTATTATTTGATAATGTCTGTGACTTAAAGTAGCCAGTGAGATAAGAATTTACTTCTTAGGAGTAAGGCTGGTTCCTCTTTTGGTAATAGGCATATAGTGTTTTCACAGTAGATCTGTGGGCTCCTCCATCAGAAATGCCTCAGGTGGTTATTAAAATGCTAGTTCATGGGCCCTCATTTAGTAGTTGGAATCTCTGGTAATTAATCTTTCTAACTATATCCCCAGCTGATTCTTATGCCCACTAGAATTTAAGATTGTTTTAACAAACATCTCCTAGAAGTATATCAGGGACTAATCGACATAAATAGGTGATAGACACATGCATGACATTAACAGGCAGATGTATGATTTTTAAAAAATCTCATGGTGTTCTTTTATGTCTTGAAGCAAGTAATTGAGAGGACCAGAAAAAAGCATTTCTGAAGCTTTAGCGCCTTGCTAGCCTCAGAGTGGTTTGAAGGTGTGCAGGGCAGCATGAAAAACATGAGTGGAGGCTGAAAGATAACTGCTGAACAAGATGCTATACTTCTGCCAGAGCTAAGTCCTGAGAACAGGGACTGCAATATTTGCAATACTTGAGGACTTGTAAAACATAAGTAATTCATTGTGATATTCTGCCTTAACTAAATGCATTTTTTTTCCCATATAGAAGAAACATTCATGGTGTCTCAAGAGAAAAAATACACCGAATGAAAGAACGGTATGAACATGATGTTACCTTTCACAGTGTGCTTCATGCAGAAAAACCAAGCAGAATGAACAGGAGCCAGGACAGGAATCATGCATTGCCTTCCAACAATGCCAGATACTGGAATTCCCACACAGAGTTTCCATACCGGAGGGCTCATGGCGGATTCACAAATGACAGCTCCTATAACAGAAGGGGCGGTTGTCACCATGGAGATTAGAGGCCTATCTTATACCCATACAGGATTTTCCCATCAATTTCTACTTCAGTTTTTATAATTTATTCTTTGTGGCATTTTAGTCAGAGTACCAATTCCAGTGTAAATAGCTGAACTCAAAAGTTTCTGAGCAAAGTCATTACATTATCTTCACCAAAATTTGTTAAAGTGCTTCTATATGCATGATCTGATGCTGGGAATTCTGCAGGTTTGATTAAACAGTCTCTTTCTCTAGGGAAATAATTTGAAACCAAAACTTGAGAACACACCCAAGAACATAATTATTTACATAGGTTCATAGATGAAATAAAATGTTTATATTATATATAAGCTTCAGTACCATTTTCTCTGAAGTGATCTATTTATTTTTTCAGGAAATTCATCTCCATCAAGAAAGTTGGGAAGGTGGAGAGAAGCGGTTGTGGGGGCGGGGGAGGGAGGCAGGAAAAGTTTTAGTGCCATTGCTACTTTGATCATCTATGTATCTAAAAATGTGAGATGTGCGACTCTATGATGATACTGATTTTCCTTTAATATTAGTATGCCAGAAAGTACACATCTAAGGGAACACTGTCCTTCAAAGTAGACACTTTGGGAAGTTATTCCTGTAATTACATATCGTTGTTAAAAATGCTGTCAAATCCTTAAGAGCTATAGGAGCTAGAGGGAAATCAGTGTCATTGCTTAAAGTCACATCTTGTGTTCTTACTACTGCTTTATTTAGCAGGATTATACCTGAATAACTTTTGGCTGTTGTGCTAATAGTGTAAATAAAGTAAGCCTGCCTTCATAAAACACTTTTAAAATGAATAGCTAAATAACTTCTAAAATTATGCCTATTAATGTGTGTAATTAGTTGGCAGCTCAAATGTTTGGGAGTGCAAGAAATTAAGCACCCCAGGATATAGGTCATACAGGGATATAAAAGCCATGCTCATTACAAAATGAGCAGCTGATGTTTTATGTGGCATTATTTAAGACAATAAAGTCCTCATAACTCTGGAATGTCTTCTACTGACGCGGAATTTATGAATCCAAATTAATTTCCGACAGGTTGGAATGAGAGTCAATGTGAGACCAAGACAGACAAGACTGCAGAGGATGTATGCTCTATTTCTTGTTAGCCAACAGCTTCTTTCTAATGTTCTGTGAAAACTTTTAAGTGTCCTATATACTGGTGCTTTTATGGTTATTAAAAATTGTAAATGGTATCACATTTATATGGATTTGTCATTGGATTTTTTGGTTCAACAATAAAAAAATTTAATTACCTAAATGCCAAGAAACTCACCAATATACCAGTTTTTCTGTATGATAGGCTTATTTGCCAGTCTTTTTTTTTAATAAATAGGAAGCATAAAGGTAATGACAAAAGCAATCTTATGATTTACTTGCTTATATGTTTGATCTGCATACGTGACTGTTTTAACATTATTTGACACCACTGAAACCTGCTCAACATCTCCATGACTTCCAGCAACATGAATAATGTTTTCTTCATTAACATTTAAAAAACTGCTATTTCCTTTGAGTAACAGTTTGGCTGACAATATAATAGCAAATCCCAATTAAGCTAAGGTGTTACTAGTTTTGCTAAATTCTACAACTCCAGGCACAACATAATCATCCCCTAATGATCCACTTAATAATGCTCCCATTTTCCAGGCCCAGGTAATCCTGGGTATCTTGGTTGATAGGATGATTGCATAACCAGCTCTCAATATAGATAGCTTGACTCATCTGGGCGAGCTGAGGGGAGAAATGTCAGAGAGCCCAAAGTGGAAATTACCCTCCTGTGATTCCACAAGAGGGTTCAAAGGACCAGATTCAAGCCCTCCTGACTTGGTTGGCTCCCTGCTTTAGGGTTTTTGGTTCATCTGGGTTGAGGGAGTGACCATTATGGAGAAGTGGCTCTGGGTTATCTAACTTTTACAGAGTTCCAGTTTCCTGGCTTATTTAATATCTCTTCTTTCCCTAGCCGATTCCTGAAATATATAGTTTGTAAACCATAAAAATTGATTCAGTGCCATCAACTTTATCCCAAATAGAAGTGATCTGTTTTTCCTTTCAACTCTCATGGCTCCTGATTTGTATAACTCTTTAAACACCCAATATTGACCTGTATTGTGTTCACTGTTTGCATCATTCATAGAGCTGGCAATGCTCTATATGTGCAGTAGTCTCTCATTAAATGATTGCTGAATAAATAACACACATTTTTACCATTTTTCCCTTGTGATACAGTATATATTGACTTTGTCACTTTTGGGGAGATAATATACACATATATTCAAGCTTCATATTTTGTTCATGTAGGCTGGATATTATTTATAGTTTATAAAAAAAAGCATGTGCATTAAATATCTACAATATAATGGGTGTTCTAAATGAGAATAGACAATAGCAGTTTTACCAAGGATTCAAAAAAGAAAAGGTTAAATTCTTATAATTTTTTCTGCTCACCTGAAACCTAAGTTTTATTCCTTGTTCTGGAGTAGATCACTGGGAAATTAGGATGTAAAAACAAAACTGTCTTAGAAATAAAACTTAAGTCACATTAATAAGACTTGCAGAATACTTATGTTACAAAGAGTAGCAAAACAGACATTTTTATTAATGCTTTTTACATTAGAGAAAAATCATGGATCACAGTTATGGAGGAAACAATTTTAAAAAACGATTTATTTTTAACTTTGAACATATTTATAATTAATTTGAAAACATGATATTATATATACATTTAAGACATTAAAACATCTGATTTAAGAACTTCTCCATCCTATCAACTCCTAGTTAGAACTGCTTTGTCCCTTTTCTCTATTAAACATAAGAAAGCAACAGATGAGGCTGGGCGTGGTGGCTCATGCCTATAATCCCAGCACTTTGGGAGGCTGAGGCGGGTGGATCACCTGAGGTCAGGAGTTTGAGACCAGCCTGGCCAACGTGGTAAATAAAACCCAGTTTCTACTAAAAACGTGAGAATTAGCTGGGTGTGGTGGCATGTCCCTGTAATCCCAGCTACTAGGCAGGCTGAGGTGAGAGAATTGCTTAAACCTGGGAGGTGGAGGCTGCAGTGAGCCGAGATCACACCATTCCAGCATGGGCGACAGAGTCAGATTTCATCTCAAAAAACAGATGACAAATGAGAGTATCACCTTAAATTGAACTAATCTTCTGCTTTTGCGGTAAGTTTAAAAGGGCCTAGGCTCTGGGTCTTGTGATAGTGCTAACAATAAAGCAGGCAGAATCAGTGCCAATTTGAAAGCAAGACATTTTCTCAAGTTTGAATTTGGACGACCATTTTGTTGAAAAAAATTAACTATAAAATCTGATTTAAAGTATTTGAATTTTTAATTGAAGTAATTTAATTTCAGAGATCACATTGGAATAGTAAAAAGGAATTAGAATTACATTGAGGGTTCTATTTTTCTTATAATCATGCTGACTTAAGGATGAAGAATTGCTCAAAAGGAAACACCACTCTATCATATTCATCCTGACTCTGGAACAGGATGGAACTCTAGCAGAACCAACATATGCATTAAGGAAAACTATTTCATAGTGAGTTACCTGTAAAAAAAAAAATCCCCTAAAATAGTAGCTAAACTAAAAGGAATTATCTGCATCAAAATAACTGTACTAAGAGACCTCATTTCGCTTAATGACACAATCTAAAAGAAAAGGGTATGTTTATTTCACTTGTAAAATGATACTTGCAGTGATGTAAAGATGTAAAGATTGTTTTCCCCCATTCTTTTTTTTCTTTGTAAATATGGGGGTCTCCCTATGTTGCCCAGGCTGGTCTTGAACTCCTGGCCTGAAGCACTTCTCCCACCACAGCTTCTCAAAGTGTTGGGATGATAGGCGTGAGCCACTGAGTTCAGGTAATTTTTCTTGATTAGTTAATAAGGTACATTCAATTTTAAGATATGCAACTGAAATAAAAGTATACCAATACAGAATCAAGCAAAGAACATATGATACACAAACACTTAGCTGAAAGTAATTTCTTTTCTCATTGTGCAACATAAGTACTAATGTGTGGTTTGAAACTATATTCCAGTCTTACTAACTGGAAAGGTTAAGTGTCAATAATTTATTGTCACATTTGCAAATGCTTAGATTTATTTTTCAGTTGTACTTGTGTCCTGCATATCATTCTCACATTCTTCTGTACCGGCCCGGGAACTCTCCTGTTCTTTGATCAGAGATGTAGTAGAACATCTTTTCAGTCTGAGACAATCTTTTGAACTGGTGGGAGCAGTCCTAGTGAATTCACTGACAGATATAAATTGTTTTTCTCCTATTGAACCAGACAAAAGAGCTTGGGTATTTATTAATGCAAGTTCTTCGTCAGCTATTGAATTACTTTCCAAAAGAGAAATTTCATTGAATTTTTTAAATGGAGTCACCTGTGGAGAATTCAATTCTTTTTTCTTTATAGGTGTTTCGTATTTGGTGCCACAACTCCTTGGTGGTTGAAATGCCTTCTGTGCAGCTGGAGAAACAAATGTACAAATGGGACTAACAGGTGGAGGTAAAGGCAGTCTACTCAAGAAATCCAAGGCTCTTCTCTTTTTGCAGCTTTTTTGGTCATCAATCTCTTTCTCCCCTTTACAAGACTTTGAAGTCATTTGGGCTGGTACAGGTGTGGAAACAGACTTACTTTTGGGCATACGAAGTGATAACGGACTTTGATAATTTATATCACAATTAGGAGAAGACATCTGTTAAAAAAAATTAAGTAGCCTATCATAATTATATACTAACATAAAAAACTAAATCACAGTAACTTTTCATTGAAAATATTTAAGCACGCAAATATCAAACACAGTCTCTATCCCCTGATTGCTAACAAGTTAGATAATTTCAGTTCATATTATTCCTATTCTAGAAGGAAATAATTTTGCATAAGAGCATATACAATGATATGAAAAGAAAGGAAGATGAAGAGTAATCATAGTAAAAAAGGAGGTAGGGTCAGATCTCATGAGACTTAAAAATTTAAATTAAAAATAAAAAAAAGGAGGTAAGGGATGTCAACTTAAGCTTTAATCTTTTTTATTCTTAACAGGTTAAAAAAAGATAAACATTTTAAATCCATCTTTTTTTTTTTTTTTTTTTTTTAGACGGAGTTTTGCTCTTGTTACCCAGGCTGGAGTGCAATGGCGTGATCTCGGCTCACCGCAACATCCTCCTCCTGGGTTCAGGCAATTCTCCTGCCTCAGCCTCCTGAGTAGCTGGGATTACAGGCACGTGCCACCATGCCCAGCTAATTTTTTGTATTTTTTAGTAGAGATGGGGTTTCACTATGTTGACCAGGATAGTCTCGATCTCTTGACCTCGTGATCCACCCGCCTCGGCCTCCCAAAGTGCTGGGATTACAGGCTTGAGCCACTGCGCCCGGCCTGAAGCCATCTTAAGAACACACACTACCTGGGTTCTAATACTTACTTTTCTAGCTTTGGGACCTTATTAGGCAATTGCTTAACCTCTCTCTATGCCAAAGTCTCCTCATCTATAAAATGAGCATAATACAGTAAAGTCCTCACTTAGTGTCACTGATATGTTCTTGGAAACTGTGACTTTGAGTCAAACAATGTATAGCAGGTGTCTGAGCAATGTCATTTCCTTCAACATCATTTTGTTAGAACACTGATGAGAAAAGAATATGATTTTGTTATACATCACTTCCCTTAAGATCAGTTTCCAAAAACCTATTGACAATGTTAAGTGAGGGCTTAGGTTTTATCTCATAGGGTTGTTAGGAGGATTAAATGAGTAAATATAGATACATTTAGCAAATGTTAGCTATTTAAGAATGCGCTATTAGCCAGGATTAAAGACTTCAGCTTGATTTGCATCTACTCTGATTTAACCACTTAAACAGCTTAGAAGCAACCCTCATTGCATGGAACACTAAAAGAAATAGGCAAAAAACACTTTTCAATCACATGTAAATGAAAGCACCTGATTGGAAAGTTTGCACCCAAAGTTTCATATCTTTCTTCAATAAACAGAATTTCTAAATAGCCTATACTTACAGGAGCCACATAACAACCACATTTTCTAATTAAGTTTAATTACATTTTATCATGTTTACTAGGTATACTACAGAATATACAATGGCCTCCATATATAATATTTATAATATTACTTAGATTTACATTAACTTACCAGAAGCTTATTTCCTGCAGGAAGAATGATTTGAGCAGTGTGT